TATATATATATATATATATATATATATATATACACACACACACTGCCTGGCCCAAAACAAATCGCACATTCACTGCGTCATCATAAGCTTATACAATGTCACAGTTGCTACCACTTAGAAACTTTAGAAAACTGCTTGCATATATCTGGGACCTGTGCACATTCACATTACCTGGTATTACACCTGCAACCAATCGGGATCCTTGAATTTGAGTAAAAAGGTAATACAGTCCAATGAGTTATCCTTTACTTGTTTCTTACATTTGGACAAGTTTCTGTTTAGAGAAAGCCAAAGAATGCTTTCAAACGAAACCACAATGAGGGGAATTTATCAAAACTGGAGCAGACAAAATGTGGAGCAGCTGCCCATGGCAACCAATCAGCTTCTCTTTTCAGTTTGTTCAGTTAAGATTTTTAAAGGTAATTAAAGCCTCCCGGTTTTTTTGCATCTATCTACTGCTAGCGAGCAGTAGATAGATGCAAAACATAAAAAAAGGGTTCAAACTTACCTATGTCTCCGCCGCGCGATCCCGTCCGAAGATCTGAAGATTTTCTGGCAACCGCAAAGGATGATGGGGCGGGCGCATGCGCAGTACAGATCATCGGCCAGGAGAAGAGAGACACAGGATAAGTTAATGCAGGCAGCGTACACACTCACAGACTCCGTGGGACAGGAAGAGACAGGAGTTAGCGCTGGATCAGAGACTAGCCCCTTCGACTCCTGAAAACTACAGGAAAGAAGAAGATGATCGGATCAAGAGGCATCATTTAAGGTAAGTTCTTACACTAGCATGGGGGGGGGGGGATATTTTTTTCCTTAATGTCACTTTAAAATGAAAGAGAGAAGCTAATTGGTTGCCTTGCAAAGCTGCTCCAGATTTTGTCTGCTCCAGTTTTGATAAATTCCCTGCAATGCGTTTGAAATTGGCTGTAAAACTCCAATGCAGGCACATACGTCTGAAGGTTCTCTAACTCACAGCACAGCTCTGTATAGAAGGGGCAGTAGATCTAATTTTCCTTTGCTACAGTTAAAGTGACATTAAAGTCACATCCCCCCCTCCCCAATGCTGCTTTAAGGACTTACCTTAAATGATGCCTCTTGATCTGATCATCTTCTTCTTCCCAGTAGTTTTCAGGAGTTCCTCCAGCGCTGGTGCCGGTCTCTGCTCCAGCGCTGACTGCTGTGTCTGTCCGCGTACATGCTGCCGGCTGTGTGCATTGACTTACATTGTGTCTTTCCTCTTGTCTTGGCCGAAGATCTCTACTGCGCATGCGCCCGCCCCATGATCCTTCACGGCCGCTCGAGAATCTTCAGGTCTTCAGACAGGAGCAAGCGGCGGAGACACAGGTAAGTTTTTACCTATTTGGTAACTTTTTTTTTTTTTTTTATGTTTTTGCATATATCTACTGCTTACTAGCAGTAGATATATGCAAAATAAATGAATATTTAACTCTACTTTAAGGCCTTGTCCATAACCCAGCATTTGATCGGACAGTAAACAAGAAGCAGCACAATGATGACTCCATCACTCTACTCTCTCCTCCTATCACAGTGTTCTTTATTATCACTGGAGCAGTACATCACAACGACTGGCTCTCTGATGTTGACACCAAGTCACATTCAACTACTTACATTGCTTGCATTTAAATAAATATATGTGTTTATGTATTAATGAATACAGAGCTGTATTACATTGTGTCTTTTATATCCGCCTAGAGCTCTGCTTTAACAGTTTATTTAATAAAAATACAACTTATAGTCTCTTATGACATGATATATGTCAACTATAAATGCTATATCCTGTATATATTAGGGCTGGTATTGATTCTTTTTGATTCTTTTTTTAATCGATTGATTTCGATTAATTATAACGCACATACAGATCCAACCACATTGGCCTATACAAATACACCACAGCAATGAAGTAATAAAATGAACTAGGATCACACTAATCCAGCACGTTATTAATCTCACGTGCCCCACTCAATATGGCCGCCGCTTGAGTGGGGCAACTCAGAATAATAACGTGCTGGATTAGTGTGATCCTAGTTCATTTTATTACTTCATTGCTGTGCTGTATGTGTATAGCTCAATGCCTTGGCTGGCGCTCGTGCAGAAAGTTTCTTGGGCAAACTCACCGGCCCAAGTGGCTCCGTCGGCTAACGAAGAGAAGGGGGGAGGAGTCCGGTGACGTCACGGACATCGACGTCACCAGACTCCTCCCCCTTCCCTTCGTTAGCTGTCACGGACATCGACATCACTGTAATCCTCCCCCCTTCCCTTTGTTAGCCGACGGAGCCACTTGGGGAATGGGGGAGGAGTCCGGTGACGTCGATGTCTCTCCGACGGTACTCCCCGAAGCCGGCGGAGAGGTGAGTGTTTTCATTAGCGATCAAAAGAATTTTAATCGATCAAAAAGTGTAATGATTAATCGAGAAATTCATTGTTAATTTCCACAGCCCTATATTATATGTATATTTATATAGAATGTGCTATTAGTCATTCCATAGACTTGTCAAATCCAAATCCAATGTGAAATATTATAAGGAGTGTTCAGCCATAACGAAACAATATATTTATACTAGGACAGTCTGTTTTTGGAGTTCTTTTTAATCACTCATTTGTTTTGTATTCCAACTCTACCGCAAAGTATGCAGCCAATCTGCGTCTGAGCCTGTAATATATCTGGCTTCTTTTAGTCATGTGAGTAGCGGCTGACACATCCTCAGCTGTGTGCCGAATGTATCTGCTATCAGTGATCAGAAATGCTTTCACAAGAGTGAATTAGGAAAACATTCTTAGAGATGTAAAATATACTGATCAGCAACAGAGCTCATCATATGAACTGGGGCTTTAGGTTGGGTTGCATATAAATAAATGAAGCCTTGAAATGTATACAAGAACAAAACTTTCCTGCTCAAATATTCCGTTTTTATTCTGAGCTCTGCTATGCACAGTTTCATCCCACTCCCACATTTGTTTTATCTGATGATCAGGAATCCTTTTTGCTTACTGATTATAATGCCGAGAGGGTATTCCAAAACACACCTACGGCAGGATCCCCACATACAGAAAGGCTGTACAAAAAAAGTTTTCAGTTACTGGTCAGATTTAAACCTAACTTAAAAATCTGAACTTGACTAGAGATATAGCAAGCAGATTTAGAAGGGGACTTACATACTGTAGCACAAGCTGCAGAAAGAAGACCCACTCATCCCACATGTGTGAAATCTGGCAGCAATAGATTCACAATATATATATATTTTTATTTTTATATATTTTTATATTTATATTTTTATATGTGAGGCACCATTCTTTAATTAATTTTTTGGAATTTATTCATCTAAATTCTATGCACTTTTTGCACCTTTGAGATTTATGCATCACTTTGACTGATATATTTGAGACTTTATATGGGAGGCACTACTGCTTACTATCAGATAAGCAATTAATGTCTGATTTATACACTTTTACACAATTTGAGATTACCCATTTACATGCTAATTTTGTTACACTGAGTTGATTCACTATTTGGTGACCCTGAGCGCTGCACATTCAACTACATAACATTTGACCCTAGTGTCTTTAGTACAGCAGCTCCTTAATATTTTTTAATTTATATTTTTTATTGATTTATTTATTTAGTTGTTTATATACGCATATATATCCATAAGTGCGGACTATACATACTTTATGAATATTTTACTACAGTCCTGAATTTTCACTGACAAAAAACTAAGTAGTCCTAGCATTTAAGACAGCATTAATGTTCACACAGTGCGTTCTGCTTGAATGGTATAGCACATGTGCCAAAAATGCACAAACTGGACTTTTAAAAAATAGGTCAAACTCTGTTCAACATTGTTTTAATATAAGTTAGAAACGCAGCCAACAAGCCAAAATATGAGAGGTTGCCCACAGCCACCAATCAGGTGTTAACATTCATCTTCCAATGCCCTACGGAAGAATAACATCTGGAATTTAAACAATATAGGGCATACCACTTTTACCTGTCTTTTACAGCTCAGACACAGATACAGCTGAAGCTGGTGGTCCCCCCAATGCCAGAGGGAAGTAGGAAAGTAGGAAAGTACCAAAATAAGAAAATCACTGGGTGATCAGTGTTTGGAAACAGAAATGGGTTGTGGCTTTTATTGATCAGCCAGTGATCAAACAATTAGAGCCACAGCAATAAACTATTAATAGTGTCTTCAAAACACTCAAAGGGTTACACAGCTCCTCCACAGCACACAAGCAAGGGAAAAAACAGGTACTCCTTGACTGTTCTCGTCCTCACTCCCACTTTAGCTGCCATCAAATCAATAAAACATCCGATCGTACTCCATGTGTTGCTGGAAACGTATTTTAGTAAAATCACACAGTTACACAAAGTCCCGCCTCAGGTCCGCCCTCTAACGCGTTTCCCCCAATCCTAGGCTTAATCATAAAGTTCACTCTATGAAGAGTTTCACCCAATCCTGGGCTTAAAAGAGAACTATTGGGTAAGTGTTTTTCCCCATAGTTCTCTTTAGGGTCACGGGAGGACATATACTAAACTCCTCCAGTGACCCAAAGCTCAGTATACCGCGATATACAGAAAGCGCCACAGCTGGGATGGATCCCGACAATACTGTCGAGATCCACCCTGCTGCGTGACCGCCCCTCTCCCCGTTCGTCCCTCCAGTCAGCGCTAAAGGATCGGAGAGGGGAATCCCTGCGGGGAGCGACTACTGACAGTCACCACTCACTGCAGGGAGACGATCGGGAAGTGAGCGGATCGGCGGCATGTTTCTGCTCACTTCCTGATTAATAGAGCCGACTTGTGTCAGCTTATTTGTCACAGGTCGGCTCTAACTATGAGGATGAGTAGAAATAACTCACCTCATAGTTCTCCTTTAATCATAAAGTTTACTCTACGTAGAGTTTCACCCAATCCTGGGCTTAATCGTAGAGTTCACTCAACAATTCAGCCAGGATTGGATGAAATGTGTTAAGGAGGCAAACCTGAGGCGGGACTTTGTGTAACTGTGTGATTTTAGTAAAAGAAGTGTCCAGCGACACATGGAGTGCGACCGGATGTTTTATTGATAGTAATAGTGTCTTAGTAGCTTACTTCTAGTTTAATATGTAAAACAAGATAGCATACATCTGTTGAATGAACACATAACACTAACAGCTGCAATCAAAAATTAACCCTATATGATGGAATTTTTTCAAGGCCATACTATACAAAAGATGAGCACTGTGGACTGTGCTAGCAACAAGCATTACATATAATGCTGCCCACACATTCCGTCCTATATTGCTTTGTAATTTCCAGAAGGCCACAATGTTAACTAAAAGGTTAAAACAAACACATTACTTATGTCAGTAAGAAGAGCTAAGTGAGGAGGAGTATTTTATGGCCTCAGTATAATTCATAATGTTCAGGGCCACTTGGGAATACACAGCTCTCTTTTCAAACCAAGATAATCAGGCTTCACTTATTCAGAGTTTGCATAGGGCTCATCCAGTTTGCATGTTTCCAAGGGAACCGGTGCAGAATCTGCGGCAGTAGTCTTGAAAGCATTCATAGTTACATAGTTACATAGTATTTGAGGTTGAATAAAGACATTAGTCCATCAAGTCCAACCTATTAGGATCTCATTCTAGGAGTACCTGTACCCCTGTATATTACGGTCCCTTAAGAAATCGTCCAAAAGTTTCTTGAACAATTCCACATTCTTTGCTGAAATCACTGTCTGTGGCAGTGAGTTCCAGACCCTAACTGATCTTACTGTGAAGAACCCCCTTCGCCCCTTGTGCTGGAATTTTTTTTCCACCAATTTTAGGTGGTGGCCTCTAGTTTTTGGAGTTAAACGAAAGCATTCATAATTAACCCCAAAAGCTATGTAGCGCTGCAGGGGCAACGTCTACACACAACGGTAACACATGCACACCAGAATTCTTTAGCTTTGACATTCCATTACAGTTGTGTTGCAGTCATCACTAGTGTCCTTTATGTTGCACTGAATAATAAGATAAGCAGAGTTACGTTAAGATAATTGTTGATGTGGTACCAACAGTTGTGTGAAAAAGTGTTGGCCCCCTTCCTGATTTTTCATTGTTTTGCATGTTTATCACACTTTGTGACCTCTTGGATGAGTCGTCGCTGCGCTCTTGGGGTAATTTTGGTTGGCCGCCCATTCCTGGGAAGGTTCACCACTGTTCCATGTTTTCGCCATTTGTGGATAATGGCTCTCACTGTGGTTCGCTGGAGTCCCAATGCTTTAGAAATGGCTTTATAACCTTTTCCAAACTGATAGACCAGAGTTAAGTTATGTTTTAACAGGGCCATGTGGGTTTGGATTTTGTTTTCCCTTAATAATAAAAACCTTCCTTTAAAAACTGCATGTTGTGTTTACTTGTTTTATCTTTGACTTATATTTAGATTTGTTTGATGATCTGAAACATTAAAGTGTGACAAACGTGCAAAACAATGAAAAATCAGAAAGGGGCCAACACTTTTTCACACAACTGTATGTCTGGGAATACATTCTGCTAAATATAAATGTAATGGGGCCTATTTGATATATTAGTATCTTTACATCTCCTGGTGACTCCATCCATCTCTACCAGAGCACTTAGTTACAGACCTTGGTTACATGTTACATTTAGTAACCAGATTTCTCTTCTCAGTTTAGGCCAAGCAGAGAAAAGAAAGCAGATTGGTTGCTTTACATTACTGTTTCCTGTTCTCATTTATAAGTAGACATACAAGAAAGTTCATAAGGCACCTATACAATCATTGCAAAAATACTTCAGTTCCTCCCCAGGACATCTATAATTTACAGTATTTAACACAGTTCCAACACCCAGAACTCGGCTTTCCTTACTTGCTGACTCTCTTTGCTTCACGTCAACATAATAGCTCTAATTGAAATGATATGGTTTTCTTAGGTCTTGCCTGAAGCAAAGCATTCATAATTAACCCCAAAAGCCTCGTAATGTTGCAAGGGCAACAAGCCATGGCTTTCACTTACCGCAGTTAGATCTTAACTGGATCTTCCTGCAGAGAGGAAATCCCAATAGTAATTACAAATACTAAGCAAATGTGCACTCCTATAGGCAGCCCTAGAAAAAAAACAACACTATAACTACATAGTTGGCAAATCCATTAAAGATCAACATATATGGGACAAAGCACTGTTCTACAGTTCATGCACTAAGGCTTCATTCACACTTGCGCTTTTGTGCTCTACATGCAGAAAAAAAATCTGTCAGGTTGGATGCTGTGTTTATGCTTCTAGATGTGTTAAATGATGCATGTTTGCATGCACTTGCATGCATATACGCGCAGAAGCGCCTGGTACCAAATCCTAGCATCAAATCTCATTTACATTTGTTTACATGCGTTCACGTGCGTTTTGAAGTTAAAATTGATTGACTTCTAATTTTCTAAACGCACCTAAACTGACTGCAGATAAAAGCTTCTAAGCGTAAAGTGTGAATAGATCATTTGGCAATTAGATGCATATATACGCATTTTAAACGCAAATTAACATAACCAATAAGCATCTAATCGCACCTAGTGTGCATGTAGCCTTAATTTCACAGCAATCTTGAAGCTGACAGTCCTATAGTAAATAAGGATTAGCTAGACTGTCAGTTAGGCTCAATATGCTATAATATGAACTCCAAAAAAGTACAAATATGAACAACACAAATGTTAATTGCCTTACCTACCAAATAATTTTTTGCAATCCTTGTGATTCACACATTTCTGATATACTACATAGCCATATAGGTGACACCAATATTTTCTGGTTCAAATTCTCAACGTCATAGGTCACCTGCCTCTAAAATAGCTAAAATGGTAACACCCAACCAACTACATCACCCAAGAGCACTTTCTCTCTTTCTCTACACACAGTGTATGGGCAGGCTCTTGGGAGTCAAGGCAGCAGTATTGTTTTGTATTGCTAGAAAATAAATCAATATATGCATGTGAAGAGGGGCAAAGATTGTGAAAATTCTGTAGTCTAGCAGGCAAGATCTGATAGGCTTGACAACACTGCTTGGCATTTCAGTACGGCAGTGGCAATGTTGTCAGCTCCCTACAGGAAGTTATGAGTTTATGGCATTTCTGGCAGGATCAACAGTTGTTTCTGTAACTGCAGCATGGAGAAATGTGTAGTGAAGCGATGTACTGAATATGGATGTTTTGCATTTTTTTTTCAGACATACACTTTACCAATAACAGCTTATAATGGCCGAACCATGGCTGCTTGTATAAAATCATACAGAAATAAAACCACTGTGCAGAGAATTACCTCAACCAACTTAACAACATTTGGATGATCCAACTTCTTCAGGATAGCTATTTCCTGGTAAACTCTTTCGATAGGACCTTTGATCTGAGAGCTGTCATTGACTGTTTTTGCTCCTCTGGGAGGTGGGCGACCTGTAAAGTTAACAGGTGAGAACTGAGAGAAATGAAAGATATAAAAAGTAGTGCTTAATGGCCTTATAGATACATCCCGGTCAAAACTGAAAGGAAGCCTAGATATGCATACAGGAAACACCTGCTCAGGGTTACAGTTTTTTCATACATAGCTCTGTTGTGCAAGCTCAACCCTTTCTAGTAGCAGTAATCTGGTAATCCAAGAATACCTTTTACCTACTTGTTTGTAAAGCAGAAGAAATAACCCCAAACCCACCCACTACAGCGTCTTTGTCTCTCACATACAGAAGACCTCATGTATCAAAACAGACAATGGATAAATACATGCTCTTGTCATCTAAGCTAGCATTCCCATACACCATACACACACTTGCCAGATTCCACCTTTACTGGCTTTATCTCATAAAACAGTTATCAACTGAATTAGTGCAACCCCCGGGAAGAGCTGTTACCCCAAAATAGGTGCGACCTTCCCCACTCCTCACAACATGCCAAGTATGATAGATGGCATGAGCTGACAGTGAACCTCTATTAAAGTGACACTAAACTCAGGAGTTAAAGGAGAACTATGGGGTCAGTGTTTTTCCCCATAGTTCTCCTAAGGGTCACGGGAGGACACAAACTAGCGTCCTCCTGTAACCCAAAGCTCAATATACCGCAAGCTACAGCTCGCGGTATACTGAGACCGTCGCAGCCGGGACAGATCCCGACATTACTGTCGAGATTCACCCAGCTGCGTGATTGACAGCTGGCTCTGCCTATCTAGAGTCAGAGCCAGCTGTACCCGCCCCCTCCCCCGTCCGTTCTGCCAGTCAGCCCTGGAGGATCTGAATCCCTGCAGGGAGCCATGAGTGACAGTCACGGCTCTATGCAGGGACATGATCGAGAAGTGAGCGAGCGACGGTATGTGTTCGCTTACTTCCCTATCTATTGAGCCGACGTGTGACGTGTTCATTGTCGGCTCCAACTATAAGGATGAGTGATTTTCACTAACCTCATAGTTCTCCTTTAAATCTTAAAAATGCATTCAAATACCCTAACTATTAACAAAAATGTATCTTATTTGTGTATCACTCGGCTGTAGATCCTCAAATCATCTCTGAATTGGTGCTGACACTGTCCTTCCTTCTGGAGAGTGGCAACTTTTGTTCTCCATGGTCCCTGTGTGTGTTGTAAAGTAGTCACCGCTCCAAGCTCGCTCCTGTGATGGACTACAATCCTATACTAAATATAATAATTTGTATTGAGATTGTATTCCATCAGAAAAGTGAGCTTAGAGCTGTGTCTACTTTACAACACACATGCAGGCAACATGGGGAACAAAAGTAGCCACCCTCCAGAAGGAAGGACAGTGTCAGCACCAATTCAGAGATGATTTGAGGATCTACAGCTGAGTGATACACACATAAGATACATTTTCGTTATTAGTTAAGGTACTTAAATGCATTTTTAAGATATCTGGAGCACATGTGTATCAACACAGTTCTGCCAATTGTTCACACAAAATGTGCCAGCATGACAATACCGTGTCTTACAATGCAGATCCAGAAGCTGCGCAGAATCTTCAGGCTTGTGTAAGGGCGGCGTTAAGTCCAAAATTACTTGGTGCTAAAAGCCTAATGCACTTAACTAGCATTTGTTGATTTACATGATTAGGCAAATACAGGAAGATAGAACCCTTAATGTGCAACATGCAGAGAGCTGCTAAAAGCATCCATTTCAACTTATTAGTGCTTGTTGTCATAAAGGTTTAAATAAGGAACTACTTGGTAATTTAGCAATGATGTACTTTTTAAAAAAGCCGAACATGAAGTCTTGCAGACACCCCCAGCAATGTTAGGGACGCATTGTGGGTCTGTGTATAACAATGCTGAATTCTGTGTGTTCTAAAGATAAACACAGGCATTGAACTAGCTGTCACTTGCTTTATTATGGAACAAGCAAGCAGTCAGTAAAGTCTCACCAATGTTCACACTGTGACCCAGAATGTGTTAAAGCCAATTGATTAACATTACAGCCAGCCCACCAGCATTTTCACTAGGCTCCAGATATCTGAAACTCACGTGGAAATCCAGCTTGCCTCATTAATTTCTTCTTGGAAAGAACCTTCATTGCCTATAACAACAAAAAAGTCAGGGAAGTAAGTGAGTTACAAAATGGTTAGGGTATGTTTCAAATCAAAATGATTCCATTATGCAATATTTATCAGTAAGTAAATTAAATAGATTAAAAACAAATCTTCTCTATAAACTATGTAATAAAAAAACATAGAGTGACTCAACCCTCTCACATCCACTCCCAATACTGGAACCTCAGCACTGAGTAAGGCTTCTGCTCCATCCATTAATGTCACTTTATTTCAAAAAGGCATAAAAAACAGACAACAAACAAGCAGCTGACTCATTTCCGCCGCTAAACTGGGCCTTAGTTGTTATTGTACAACTAAGGCCCAGTTCAGGGTCTGAAACATGTCACCTGTTTGTTGTCTGTTTTTATGCTTTTAAAAAAATAAATAAAGTGACATGTTAGATGGCTAATCACTTACATAGTATGTGTTATCATCTTCATTATATGCCAGCTTCACCACGCCGTAGGAGCCCTGCAAGAATGTAAACAGAAAATCTTAGCCAAATAATCATAATGAACAGATAACATTTCAATAAAAGCTTCAGGACCCCATCAAACCTTGTGTTGTGTCATGAACTTGCATTAATGCAATGTGTTATGGTACACAGTGGTAAATTAGTAATAAACTCTCCTCTTTGTTAGCTGTTATATAGCTACAATGTGTCTCCAAATCATCTGTCCCCAGTCAGTTATGTCCCTCGCTGTACAGATCATGATTTCCCACAAGGCACATGTGTGACCAACTTAGGAGTTTAGCCAGTCTTTCCGCTCACAGTTGCAATCAATTGCTGTAGGAGGAGCTTGCGATTCAGCCGCATGAGGGTGTACGCAGCATTGGTAAAGGATGGCTCCAGGACACCATGTAAAGGAACGGAGCCAGAATATAAACAGAAGCAATGGCTAGTGAATTTTACCATGCAAATTACGGACAGATGACAGCAAGAAAACAGAAGGCAATCAGCACAAGGTAAGTGCAGATGTTTGCTGCGGTATGTAATGTTTGCATTGGATGTTTATTAACACCTTAGGGCAGCCCATTAATTTTGGATCGGCTGGTAGAGCAACTTACCGTAAGAAAAAACTGGCCTGCTCCTTTTATTGAGACATTCACTGCACTATGATGCACAGCATGTAAGTTGCAGCACACTCCAGCATTGATTCATTGTCCGCTACTGTAATAGCACATTGAGAGGCCATTTAAAGTAAATGGATGACACTGCACAAAATCACATTAAGGGCACTCTCTGCATTCCAGCATCGGGCAAAGAAAGATGGCAGAACTGTCAGAAATAATTATCGCCGTCCAACAGTAGAACTACAGACCCGGCCCGACTGGGAGAGAGAATTTGGTGCGACGGGAGTGTGTGTTCAGGTAAGTATACACTGAACACAAATGTTGGGGGGTTACTATTACTGTTCCAGCCAGCAACTCACCACCAGTGCTGGGGGGTATTGTTTTAGCCAGCCATTGACCACCAATGCTTAGGGGGAGGGTTTATTGTTACCATCAGCCACACTGCACTGCATTTATCGTCTTAACACCTTCACGGTATTCCTCCCATGTTCAAAATGTTGGCAACTATGCAGAGGAAAGCGTCTCTGAGCTTCCGGTACAGTATCTCTGCATAAAGTTGCAGCCATACTTACAGCTGCTGCTGTATGCCCTACACTGGCTCATTCTGCTCCCACCCCAATGTGCATGAAATGTAATTTAAATAACATTACTGAAATTAATTTTGATGCATGAGAAGTAGGGGCGTTAAAAAACTATCTGCCCCAGGGTGCCAGATTTGCTAGGTGTGCCACTGCAGTAAAGCGAAGATGTGAATGGGCCCTCAGGCCTATTTGCATACAGAAGGTGGTACTACAGACCTCCTTCCAAAAATGCCGCTATCGCTGACAGAGAGGAAGCAAGATGATCTGACATTTTCACTTCACTTGCTACATACATGTCCCAATCTCACTGACCTGAAAATACTGACAGCCAGGAAACTAGAGGTCAACATTGGCAGCCTCCATATTTCTCTCAGTACTGCAAATAGATTTGATATATTTCTTCATACAGCCATAAAAATAAAAATTGTATTGGTTGCTGCAGTTTGCAGGTTACTAAAGGACTACAATACCCCAAAACAAAAACAAGACTGCATTCACTTGTGTTTTAATTATTTACAGTTTTCAAAAATACTTCTACTTTCGATAAGCCGACATAAAGAGCTTAATATGATTCACGTCATACTAATTTGGTTTTATTATGGCAGTTTGTTTGTACTGGATTTTATTGCTGCTTGTGGCTTGCCTTTACTTTAAGGGTGTGATTACACATATACACACACCTATGACAACAAGATTAGTTGATTAAAATGAAATGTAATTATTGATTCGCCTAGATCATAAATGTATACTGTATATGCCTTAGCAACAGAGTAGTGTTGAAATGCTGCCAACGAGAGGGAAGAAGTAACATTAACACTTTTGTTTGTACATCCTACAAGAAGTGGAAGCCGATCTCCTGTTGATGAGGGGACATTGAAAGTATGAGACATTTGTTTGTAAAATCAGAGACCGAAAAAAAGTTCTTAAACGAGATCCAAAGTCACAGCATACAATTTCCTCTTATCACATTAGCAGTGTAATAGCAAAATCATTTTTGACAATCCAATATAAGCTTAGCTGGAAAACCTCCTTTCATGTTGTGAGTGCTGCTTGTCGAACGACCATCTCTTTCAACAACTTACTTTTGATTTCTAAGGACTACATATTAGGGATGCCCTGATTAAATTTTTTCAAAACCAAGATGCCTCAGGTACTTGCCGATACCAATTACTAATACTTTTTCTTAAAGGGATATGTGACATTCTTTCTAAAACAATCCATTGTTTTTAGGGCAGTTTCTTCATAATTATGAAGAACTGTTACTCAATCAATGATTATTCAGCAATGGAGAATGGCAACCAGCAATAGATGACTACAGATCCCATCAATACATAATCATACAGCAATGGGGAATGGCAACCAGCTACAGAGGACTACAAATCTCAGCAATCCATGATTAATCAGCAATGAAGAATGGCAACCAGCAATAGAGGACTATAGATCCCATCAATCCATGATTATACAGCAATTATACAGGGCTGTGTGCGGTCTCACCAGGGCTGTGTGCAGATCTCTCCATGGTTGCGTTTGGGTCTCACCAGGGCTGTGTGCAGATCTCACCAAGGCTGCATGTTGGTGCTGGGCTCTCCGGCCGGTTGCCAGGCTCTCCATGGCTGTATGGGCCTGTCCAATACTGTGCCTGTCTCTGCGGGCACCAGGAAGGAGAAGGAGATGTGGGGCTGAACCAGCACTGTCAAAGACAGCTACCACGAGGTCCCCGATAGGCCACCTGGGCCTCCAGCAAGTGCAGGATTTCAGGCAGCCGAACTTGTTAAAAAAATTAAAGGGCCAGTATCGGCCTTTAAAATTGGGACATTTTGGCAAGTACAATACTTGTGAAAATGCCATATATATCGACCCCGGTACTATTATCGGTATCGGGACATCCCTACAACATATCCCAAGGCAGCAACATATACCTTGCTGCCTGCAAGCCGTGTTGATGTCATATGTGGTGTGTTGTCTGTACTTACTGTGTCACCTAAAGATTTCCTTTAACGTCCTGTTGCTTCTCTGGGACAGGAAGTGAAAGAAATTCCCCCAATGGTACAAAAACTAGAGAGGGGGTTTACCCCCTCTCTACTCTACTCTATTCTAAAAAAAAATGTTTTGGCTGTACAAACAGTTTTAAGAAGAACTATCACCAGAAGGCGATCCTTACAGAATCCCAATGGGGACCCAGTGCACATTGCACTTGGTTCCATTAAGATCCATGCAGTGGTTTAAGAATTAATTAAATGAAGAATGGAATTAATTTATATTTCTGTTTGCAGCTGTAGCTCTACCCCGTGCTGAAGCCCAATGTATGGGTGCTCCTATGGGGGGGCTACAACACAGTACTGAGCCCCCTTTCTATGCGGATTTATCTTTTACTATTATTAATAAAGAATTGGCACTGCAGGGCTGGATAAAAGATCTGCCGATGCCGTGTATGTTTACTGGCATCTGGCAGATGTATCTGACAGCACCAAAGCATTTATGGTTTGTTTACTATTATGAATGAACAGTAAGCTCTGTGGAGCTGTGTGACAGAGCTGATGGCAAACATCAACTGATAGATTACACAGCCCCGATAACACTGACAGTCCATTCACAATAGTAAAAAGAACAGACAGTGCTGTGGGGCTGTGTGATCTATCGGGATATGTTACAGAGATGAAGGTGGCAAAAATCTGAAAGTGATTGGATGTGAGGCCTGAAGGATGGTTCAGAGTCCCGGAGTATAGATTGCATGCTGAAATGATTAGGATCAGTCTCTCCCATCCTCTAGAACTCCCCACCCCAATCTCTCCATCTATTTCCTACTTTATGCCACCTAAAAACTCTTCTCCACTTAATGACTGAACTGTTACCTTCTCTAACTCATTCCCACACAGTTACTACCTTTTGTATCCCTTGCACCTTGCTTTTAGATTGCAAGCTCTCACACGCAGGACCCTCCTAACACTTTTATATTGTATTGTAATTGTACAGGCTCCCTTTATTTCGTAAAGCGCTGTGCAAACTGTTGGTACCATATAAATCCTGTATAATAATTAATAAAAAAAACAATATAATATTAAGGTCTGTTAAGCCACTTTGAATGTTAATGCATTTAAATGTTTACAATTTTTACTCTTCTATTTTTTTCTACCAATGTGATGGAGCAGGAGAAAGAAAGAGGTAATATGTCAGATTTACAATCTTTATTTACTGAAGTTCAATATGCTGTTTTATTTAAAATATATTTCATGGATAAGCTCTTTTGTGTGTTTCAGTAAAATGATAATATAGGAAAGCTCTGGAATACAATGTTTTTATATGGTCACAGATATCCTTCCCGGCGTCACCTTTCTTTATAAATGACTACATATAGAGTGTGGAGTGGATTATCATATATGTATAAATTACTACTTGGAAACAAATACACTCACCTTTCCAATTTCATCTTTTAGCTTGTACTGGTTGAGCTGGACACAGTCCTTAAAAGAGAGAAATACAAATACCTAGTAACCACAGTGATAAAAGAATGCATTCTTAGTGGTTAGACATCATTCTGCTGGTACATAACAAATTGTCCCTGATTTAGAACACTGCACAAACATATCGTAACTAGCACGCATGTATTAAAGCCAAATTATGGCTTGCACACTAAACATGACCCCAGCTGAAACATCTGGAGAGGAGAGCCCACTCTATTAAAACGAAAAAATTGGCTTGAGTTAGGCTTTTTTTTTTTTTTTAAACTATCCTCATTACCAGTTTTAAAACCAGCACCACGGTATATTAGAGGAAATCTGGCTGGCCACTATGGGCAATAATATATTGTGATAAAATGTTCTGCCTTTTATATAGATTAGATGCTATACAGATGAAACAGCCTGCCACATATGTTTGCGTGTTCTGGTACTTTTAGAAGTGTTTGTTGATCAATTTGGAAGCAATAAAACAAAAAATGGCTCAAAAATTCCCTACCTGGAAACCCGTAATGTTAACACGGTGAGACTCTATTGTCGGTCTCCGTGGCAAACGTGGAGAAGACTGCGGTGACGTTACAGGAGAATATGGAAGAGATGGGTAAATGTATCGTCCATTCGTGTCCAAGTTATCAGTTGGAGACTGAGCAGCATGGGAACGTTCTTGAAGTGAAAGTTTTCTGTTGGTCATGTTGAGATTTGCTCTCTGGTCTTTACTGTCATTTGGAAGCCCGTCAATGTCACTTTTCATACAACCACTTTCAGTAAGTCTATGAATATCTGGTTCTTCTGTACAGCTCTCTTTGAGCCCCCCATCCTGATAATCTGTCTGTCCATTCTGGCCATGCTCCCTTTCTGATATGCTGGACTCATATTCTGTAACCACGATAACGGATTCCATTCCTAGGTCTAAACTCAGTGCTGAAAAGCTACAAACAATGTGAGGCTGATTTGTCGTTTCATGGTCATCTTGCAGTATGGACCTCTCAGAAGAAGTCCTCTTGGACACGCATGATGACATGGTGTATGACCCGGCTGCGTGCACTTGCCTAATGTGCTCCCATTGGAACCTGCAAAAACAGTAAATACAAACATGAAGTCTGCAATTAAATTAAATAGCACAGAAAATGTGAGTAGCAAAACTGAGCAATTCAGGACGGTGAAAATTGCTCAGGAAGAGTTTAGAATGGCAATCCACAACCACAACAAGACCACTTTAATTATTTTCTTATATCAAGCTTATTCTGAGACAAGGCAAGACAACAGGTGACTTGACTAAATCTGGTAAGATACGTAGCATACATTTTAAAAATGCCCAAGAAAAATAAGACAACAATATTAAATAAATCAGCACGGGAGCATAATGAAAATCTGAAAAGACAACCATATGCAGTCATTGGTAGACAATTATACACATGAGTTTCTGAACAGACTCTGGAACATCCTGTCTTCTTCACATGGCAAACACATGCCCTTTTCAAACCAACTGTACGTAAACTGCTTATAGACGATGTGTTCTATGTTTTTATGAGACGACAGACAACCAGTATGGGCTAGACACATTCTGACCTCCCTTTATACCCTCATGGGGATACTGATCTGACAGGCAAAAAAACCTCCCCCAATCACTACTGTTTCTCCCAGAGATAAACCTTGTCATTGGTTCACAAATGACAACATAGAACATCCATTAGGTTTCAGGGGCCCAAAGACCTCTTCTTCAGGGCTTAAACATAATAGCTTATCATAAGGACCCAAAACTGGCACTAATCACCAAGAGTTTGTTATCTGCCAGATAGGTTATGGCCAGAATCAATGAATTAGCAATTCTGGGTTTAGCCAGAATCATTTAACTTAAAGTTGACTTTCAGCTTTACACTGGATGCTTAAGAGGCCTAAGCGTGTGATATATAAGTTTAAAAAAATCTAAAACAGGGGTGCCCACAAGGTCGATCACAGGTAGATCGCCATGTCCTCTCCTCCCGCCGCTTCTCTGAATCCCCGCTGCTCTCCCCCAGCGGGGATCCGAGAAGACGTGAAGGAACCGGTGGCGGGGGAGGGCGGAGGACGGAGCCGCTGTCACTATAATGCAGAGCAGTGAGGAGAGGGAGAGACGCTCGGCCAGGATCTGACAGCCGGCGCCTCTCTCTCCCCTCACTGCTCGTCCGTTCTGTCACAGCGGCTCCGCCCCCCCCCCCCCACCCCGCGGCTCGTAGTATCAGGGGGAGCAGGGGGATCCAGAGAAGTGGCAGCCCCCCTGTGCGTGGACGAGCGGCAGAGGATCGGTACATGTCACCAGTATGTACCAATCCTCTGTGTGGGACAAACACTGGAGCGATCGGCTGATCACTCCAGTGTTTGTAAATAACTGGGGACACATAGTACTATGTGAACAATAAAAACACCCAAAAAAAGTATGTGGGGTGCACCTATGCATGGAAATGGCAATTGCCTCACATATGTTAGGTATCATCCTGCACGTCAGAGTGAGAGCAATAATTCTAGAGCCATTGTTCACAGTCAACTCAAAAGTAAATCGGTAAAAGCTTTTAAAGTGTGGACTATAGACAATCATGGGTACCGCCATTTACTCAACACAACCTCATCTTTTATATTTTACCAAAAAAATGGGTATTATATCATGTTTTTCTGCACTACAGTTATATGAGGTAGACTTGCTGCAATCCTTAGTGGGTAAAAGTAGTATTTAAGTCTTAAACATTTTTCAATAATGAATCCAGATCAAACAAATATACATTGCTCAGCAAAGTATTTCTTTACATTTCTGCCCAAACACTTACAGTCATCATGTTTCCAAACAGCTCCAACTCTCGGCTCCACTTCCCTAAACTTCCTGTCCAGTACAAGATCATAAAGGGACAGAGCAGACTTCAGCAGCTGTAAACTTTGCTTAGGCTGTGAAGTCCAATGCTTTCTAAGGAGGTACTTTTTCTTCCTCACTAAACAAGAGCCTTATTAATTTGAAGCCATAAAGAAAGACAACCCACTATTGAGAGGACACAGATAAAAGACTGAAATATGCTGGGTGTGTCTCCTGGTGCTCTGTGTTCTTTCCAGTTCCTCTGTGTGTTCTGAGAGAGAGTTCTTTAAATTGCCTCTTTGCTGCTGACCTGCACAGTCTTGACCACTTCTGCTTGATGCCTGCCTTTGACCATGTGCCTGTATCTGACCACTGTTGCCTTGCCTGTTACCGACCTCTGCCCGGACTCGACTATCCATCTGTACTTGCTCACTCTGCTGCCTTGCCTGTTGCTGACCTCAGCCTGGACCCCGACCATTCTCCAGTCCTTCCTTATTGTATTGTCTCCACATCCTAGGCCTCCTATTCTCCGCTCACTCCCTGGTAGGGCAACCCTGAGTTTGCGACCTGGTACCAGCACGCCCCACAAATCCATCTCCACCTTCAGGAGCTCTGGAGAAAACCAGCTGGTGCTTAAACTCCGCACCTTGGGTGAGCCCATGTCACCACTGGGGGGTGCTGCCGTAACAGCCTGAACAATGTAACATCATCTTTGCTTGCTGGATACATTGCATTATGGGCAATGTAGTCTTGAGAAATCTTGCATCACATTAGGCAGCAATGACAGAGATGCAAAGCACACTGTGAATCCAGTAAGGTGTTGAGAGTGATTAGCAGATGGAGGGCAGCACTTTCAAATAAGCTTTGATCTCATCTGGTAAAACGGGACTACAGAAAAGATGTGAAAGTTTTAATTTGTTGAATAAAGGTAAGCTGTAAATTTCTTACAGTGACACTAAGGCCATCTTGGTGAAAATAGCTTACAGGCAGGTTTTTTTATGACAGAAGAGACTGTGTAAAAGAAATATACTTTAATTTAAAGGAATTTGAAATTTATGACAAACTCTTGCATTTAAAAATTAACTTCCAATAATCTGAGGTGCTGAGTATCCCTATAACCTATACACACCTCCAAAGACTAAGCACGAACTTCAGATTTAAATGGACCACAACAGCCATCAAATATTTAGCGATATTCATACCAAAACTTCCAAAAAAATAACTACACTCTAAAGTTCCCCCTTTTTCTCTCGCGACAAGATCGGAACATGACCTTGATACCAAATTCTCCCCTGAACAAATCCAGATTCATCACCTTTCCTTGAAATTTTTCATATGCACCAAATTTAAACAATGTAAATACATAATCCTTCCATTGTGGTAAAACACCCTGGAGGTGCAAGGCCGAGAAGGGCTCTATCCCCCATTTCTTTTGGTCCTATCAAAAATGAACCAAGTTTTGGAACAAAGTAGAAAATTCTCACAAAATTTACTATTTCTTTGCTTGGACCAATGGACCCTTCCTCCTTCCTACTATATAACAATTCAATCCCTATTAACTTAGTCACAAGCTAAAGGGAATTTCTGATATTAAAGACGAACTCCAGATTTAGAGAATGGTGCACATTGACATGGTGCATAAACATGCTGTAAATATGGGTAAATATATTACTTGCTTAAATCTGTACATGTTCTGAAAATCAGCACTCTGATCCACCTGGAAACCACAATAAAAAGTAGATGGTACAAAAAAAACCATAGTACTCCACAAGAGGAAGAAAGGGAGTTATATAAACCCTACTATCTCTGTTACAAGGTCTTCTTCTTCTAGTGTTGCTGTTCATATACAGTCCTTATGCACAGCACAATATGTGACTGAACAATAGAAGCAAAGTCCTATTCTAAATTTGCGGGTGAAAGTTGATGATGGATTTTTATTGTGTTTAGCCCTGCCAGCAAATTGTTAAGCCCATGATAAAAACAAATGGTAAGTGTTGATCTGGAATTGAAGTGGGGCTTTATTAAAGGGCCAGTTAATGTAAGTGTTTCTTTATGGCTGTGCTACAGACCTTAGTAACTGGTGACACCAGAAGGAATAGCATCCTAGAGCGGAATAACAAAATTCTTCTGTGCTATTTTATGGTGATAGCCTAAGCAGATTTAAAATACACAATATACTGACCTAGGGTGAAAACATAGGGAGTGTGGGTGAGAGGTCCACTTTAATGCCAAGCTGAGTATGCATTTAATGTCAAAACTCAAATGACAGAGAATCAAATGTGTAAAGAACATTTTCTTTTCTTACCCCTCCCACTGATAATACTTAATGCAAATTAATTCTGCCTGAATAACAATGAATGGAAAAATCATTCTAAGGCACAAAGACAACTACAGTTCGCCTAGCAGCATAAAAGTGTTAATTAGCACCGCAGAAACAGCAGTCGGTAGAAGATGCAAAGTGACACACTTACCTCATTCTCCTGCAGCAATACGTTACCTTCTGCTAATGCAACTGTATATCCGAGCTTACATATGGTAAAAATGGTCTGCTAGGAAGGTCTGCAAGTAGTCATTTACTAGAGCTTCACTGAGCAGCTTCACTGCTTTTCTTTATGCATTAGCCTATACACGTTAAGGGTAAACTGCTTGCAAATATTTAAAAAACAATGTAATTTTGGTTATGTGTTGTGCAGGCCCAACCGTGAGCAGTGCTTCAGCAGCCAGCTAGCTGATGGAGGCACCCGCACGGGGGGGGGGACAGTTTTATACCACTAGAGAAGGAGGAAATTATTTTTTTAAAGAATAAAAGTTTTTTTAAAGTAACTCTGGCAACAGTAAATAGAAAAAGTAAAATAAAATGAAGGTTTAATGTCACTTTAAAGTTAGGACATATGTGAAGGGTCAATAATTGAGATCCTGAAATGATTTTTGCCTGCAGTTCCCAGTTTCCTCTGAACTCTTGGCTCTGGTTAAACTTTCTGACAAAAGGTGGACTGGTCTGTCCATACTAGAGGTGCACGGAAATGGAAATTTTAAAACCGAAATAAAAATAATTGTCAAGCCAAAACCGAAAATGTTTTTTATTTTAATTTTTTCAAATATTTTTTTAAAATATTGGGGGTCTAAAATAGAAAAAGAGATTGAGGACACAAAGTCCTCAATCTCTCTTTCTGTATCCCCTGTTACAAATGAACAGGAATCCTCTATGAGTGTTCCTGTTCATTGATAACATGAGTACATGGTATGTTT